AGCAGCTGCGGAGGAGGAGGCTGGGCCCGGTGTTGGCAGCGGAGGAGGTGGGGCCCGGCATCGGCAGCAGAAAGGAGGCGGGACCCAGGGTCGGCAGCGGAGGAGACGGGGCCCGGCAACGGAGGAGGGGCCCGTCAGCGACCGTGTTGGAGGGGGGGCCTGGCCATGGAGGAGGCTGACAGGTAAGAGGTGTGCAGGGGCGGGAACAGTCCCCCTGCTAGGCTGGGCCCGGTGTTGGCAGCGGAGGAGGTGGGGCCCGGCATCGGCAGCAGAAAGGAGGCGGGACCCAGGGTCGGCAGCGGAGGAGACGGGGCCCGGCAACGGAGGAGGGGCCCGTCAGCGACCGTGTTGGAGGGGGGGCCTGGCCATGGAGGAGGCTGACAGGTAAGAGGTGTGCAGGGGTGGGACCAGCCCACCTGAGACTCTGCAGAGCCCACCATAGAAAGTATATGGTGGGCTCTGCAGTGTCACTCTCAGGTAGGCTGTTTGGGATTTCAGGCTCTGCAAGGGTGTAACTAGAAATCACAGGGCCACATATCAAATTTTGCTATGGGGCCCTGTGATTTCTAGTTACACCCCTGCCCAGGAGATGTCTTCTCATGAGATATAAGATGCCAAGGGTATCAGACTCCTGTCTAACACTACAGAGCTAGAAACTATGCCTAGGAGATCTCTTCTCATGAGACATAAGATCTCTAACCCAAATATCACTTTTGGGTGGACTGTCCGTTCCACATTTACTTTACATTTTGGTTTTACCTTTTTTTAGCAGCCATGGCAGGTTCAGTAGAGATGGCCTACAGCAGTGGTTGGGAACCTTGGCACCCTAGCTGTTTTGGAACTACAAGTCCCATGAGGCATTGCAAGGCTCTGACAGCCACAGGCATAACTCCCAGAGGCATGTTGGGATTTGTAGTTTTGGCACAGCTGGAGTGCCAGGGTTCGCCACCACTGGCCTACAGAGTCCTTCACTATGACTGTCTATCCTTCCTAATATTAATTTAAAAAAAAAAAAACATTTGGATGGAGTGCTGTGAATATCAGGTTTTTATTGTTGCCTGTGTACACACTGGGGAGATTCATCCTCTGTATTTGCCAAATGTACCAGCGAAGAGAAGATTTCTCCCTTTTTTGGAGAGAATTCCACTCTGTGTGGAGTCTTTGGGGCAGGAAGTAAATAGATATCTACCCAACAGCAGCAGGAAAAACCCACCATAAGTTTTAACCTTCCCCTTCTTTATAGAAAAAGAACCTGAGGTTCATTTTGTACAGTTCCAGCAGGAAAGCTGGGAGATGGGTAACACAGGTAGGAGCAGGTACTTAGTGGCTCTTGCTGTAAAGTGTCTGCTTTTTATTTTTGCATACGGGGTCGTGTTAAATATAGAGCAGTTGAAATAACTAAATGTATCCAGTTCAGCAAGACACTGAAGATGGGCTTCTGTTCCTTTGGTTGCAGAGTGTGTGTGTGATGAATAAGTCCCTCAAGTCCATGATCTTTGGAGAAGAGGATAGACCTGAACCTTATCAGCTAGCATGGGGCTAAGTTCTCCTCATTCCTGTAGTTCTTCTGAATCTCAGGGGAGGTGGTGTCTTTTGCACTACTCATGCACGGGAGCCCTGACCTTCCCCCTCACAAATCCCTTTTTGACTCTTTTATTTTAATTCCTTTTGTGTCTCTGTTTCTACTCCTTTCTACTAGAATATTCTCTAGTCTTGTACACATTACTACCTAGAGTTTTCCAGAGGAGCAAGTCTTGTTAAAACCCATGGGACACGTACGTATAGGACAATGGAATACTGTTTTTGATATGATATGTTAGCTGCTGACTTGAAGTTGTATGTCTCATATACCTATGTCATCGTACACTGGTCAATTCGATACTTCTATACTCGTGGTACGATGATATGATAATACCCTGGCTCTTATTTAGCTTTCATATACGTGTCATTGCCACCTTGAATGTGTTATCTCATCCTTTGTATCTCTTGTGACAATGTTATTTTTTATTATCTTTATTGTTTCTGTACCACAAATGTACACAATTCTGTTCTTGATAAAACATAGCAGTTAACATTTTGATTCCCTTTCCCTGCAATGGGAGAGTTGCAAGAATATCAATTTAATTTAAATGTATATTTCTATAGAGTTTTTTTGTCCCTGGGGAATTAAAGCTCTTAGGAGGTGAAGCAGCCATCTTGGGCATACTCATTTGAGCCATTTACCTTTCCAGCACGTGTTGTGAGTGTGGCAGGAAACCGGAGGACCTGGAGGAAGGCAAATTATTGGTGGCCCAATACCCAACACCCTCATAAATTATATGTCAACATATAAAGGAAACAAAATACATATACAAAACTATGACCTGCGTCCCACGATTTATCTTCACGAACACTCTCCCTTTTTCCGTATCGAATATCTGGGTTTGGCTTACACACCCTCCTCGGACGTGACCCCGGGGCCTGACCTCTGTGGTTCTTAGAACTTTCTTCAGCTGATCCTCTACTTCTCCGAACCTCTCAGTTCCTCCAGTCAGTATAAACATTTCTGGAGATGGCGGCTGGTCAGTCTGGCATCCTGCATGAAACAGATCCATTTCTCATTCCAAAAATAAATTCTAGATTCACTGTCACGACTTTTCAGTGCACTGCGACCTGAGTTAGAGTCCAGTGTCCTGGAGATTGACCAACAAACAATAAAAGAGAAAGTAAAAGCGAGTTACAGGGAGGTCCATTGTGTTGTCCCTTCTGTCAACATGCCAATGATAAGTATTAAGTATTGAGGCCATTAAACAAACAGAGAAAGTGAAAACAGAGAGGTGGATATAAAGGAAGATGGAGGGAAATTTTAGAAAGAACAAGAGTATAGGAGAAAAATCTGAAATTATTTGTTGGCTGAGAGCTCTTGGAGAGAACATCAGCCAGGAAGGTTACACCTGTCTTAGTTGCTAGCATTAAGAGCCCCCTTAACCCAAATAAGCAGGGCTTTAGATTTACCTGGGATGTCTTTATAATCCCTGCCTCTTCATATTGTCTTAAAGTGTTTCTAAACCCAAAAGCAAAAATGTTACATTTTTTTCCCCTCCTTTTTTATCTGTTGATCCAGCCAGTGAATCTGTTATTTTTCACCTTTCTGTAGCAGGCCAATCTGTGCAGCGAAAGTGGCAGACAGAGGGTTGGGACAAACCATTTAACACTGGCAGGGGTGATTACAATGGTCAAACTTTTATCCCAAAAGAAAAAGAAATGCTCTAACTGCCTAAAACAGGTTAGCCAAAGTTCCTCCCCAACGGAGTGACAATGCTGCTGTCTAAAGGTGGTTCAGTTGCTCCTCCATAGAATGGAGTCACTATATGACAGGAAGTGTGTTACTGGCTAGATCAGCAGGTGAAGGTAAAGGAAAAAAGTATAATAAATGGAAAACTAATGGACCCAATACATTTAAGGCTTGGTAAGCCACAGAAATGACAGGATAGTGAGAGAAGTAGAGAGAGAGGAAGGGAGGGAGAAGAAGAGAGAGGTGGGAGAAGGAAAGAAGAGGGAAATGCAGCGGTATAAGATAGAAAGAAAAGAGGACATGTTGCTGTGTTAAACATGAATTGCTGTCCGGAGATTCACCCTATTTGTGATGAGAAATCCAGCATTTTACAATTGTCACCAGGATAGGAGGTGAGGGGAAATCTTCCAATGGGGACACCTATTCCCCTCACATCTTCTGTATTCGGGGCAGGAAATGAGGGAAATTCTCCTTAATGGGACACACAAAGTTAGAAGAAATTCCACCAATTCCAAACAATAAAAAAAGCTTTTGCCTATAGATATATAGCCAAAACCTTTTTAAAGCACTCCATACCGGATATCTGTTGCACAAGGCAATGTTTTCCGTCCATTACCAGCCCACCTTTTCCGGGTTCCTTATATGCTGAAGGTTCTCCTCTGTTCTTCTTTTACAATCTCTGCCCCAGTGCCGGCATTTTCTTTCTGCATTGTTGTCCTAATGATAAAGAAGTACGAGGTGGATACATTTGTTTCCAAATCTAATCTAGATTAAGAAAAAACAAGTGACATTACAATTCAATACGCCATCAGAGTCTGAGTGTCCTAAAAGGTACATGAAGCAATCTGTCCTCCAACACAATGGAAGGCCGGACAGAGCAGACAAAGGGTCAGCATGTAATTACGTCATACTAACCTGTTTTGTGTGTGTGTACACATAGACATGCAGACTGCAAATGCAATAGAGTTCCAAATCAAGCAGGTTAATCCTTTAAGGGTCCGCTTAACTTCTGATGCGAGTCCCTCTGATCCTGGCCATAGACATAAATGGGCAGTTTGATATGCTGCTATTATCTTACCTGTGTTAAGGGCACCCTTCTATAAACATAAATGCTCTGCTTGGCACAATCTTTTTGTTTTTCTCTATGCAGAGGGGTGAGGAAGGAGCTGTTTCATAAAATGAATTTAATATGATAAAGCTTATATGAGATTTTAGTTATTGGATTTATAAAATTTCCAGAAACTTTTGCAGATAGACTTTTTAGAGGCAGAGCAACAGACAACTGGATTATGAACTTGAAAATACACAGAGGGACCCAGGCATTCAGAAATGAAGGATTAGATTTTCATTCGATGCTCATCTTCAAAATTCTCCCATTTAAGGTGATCTCCCCACCACCTCTGGGGAACATCAGGATCTCACAGGTTATCTCAACGTAGACAACAAAAAGCAGCACACAGAATATCAGACAGAACATTCCAACCATGGAGGTCACTAGCAGCGTTAGTCTTTCTCAGTACTGAACTCTACAACCTTTGGGGGATTTTATCACACTGGGAATACATGTATCGGAGTTCATCTCTGCCTGCGTAGGGATTAAACCCAGAGCAACAACATAGATTTTGCTTCCTGTTAATTGCAAAAAAAGCAACAGAAAAATCATATTGCGCTTTACTTTCCTAATTTTTTATGGAACAACAAGATTGAGTATTTACAATACAGTGAAAAAAGTGTCTGTATTGCTCACAGCACCCGATCAATTCCCTGCTATCTAGAAGCCTAATGAAAGCTGGACCCATAAATAGAAAACAAGGACACAAATTGCCTTAGTTTTAAGTGCTGTATAATTACAGGCAGTTATGGTAAACCACTCATTGTTATCAAGATTCCCTCCATATACACTCTGCCTTTTATAGATAACAGCTGAAAGCCGGTGCTCCGATATCACTTCACTCCACCACATTATAAAGCCAGAAAAACAATTTCCTTTGTATGCAATACTTTTTGCTATCTATACAGTAACTCCCCTACATACAAATATTCAAGTTGCGAACTCTCAAAGATGCTAACATGCGTTCACATGTCCAATCACGTAACTTAATTCACGTGTCTGGCATACAATGTGTGTTTTTGTGCACTTGACTGTACAGTACTGTATAGAGTACAGTAGTACAGTATCTTCATTTCATGCCCAGGATGTCTGGAAGCAAGCGTAAAAGCAGCATTGATGTAGATTGGTACCTAGATTAACTTGGACTTACAAATACGCTCTTGGAAGGGAACCCGTTTGTATGTAGGGGACTAACTGTACTTCTACAGGATTGTAAAGCAACATTTTAAAAAACAATTATAACTGATACAGCCGTTTAAAGTGTCAGTCTGCGGTTACAATTAATTCTATAACAAACAACAAAGCTCAGATCCCTCCCTGCAAACCAGAGCAACAGCATTTACTTGGTAGACAAGAGTTTAGAGATTCCCATTCTCCTATATTCCCAGAATTTTGCCCGTCCCAGAACTTTACACAAGGGCTTTGGGGGTCAATTTACAGGCAACCTCTGCCATGAAAAAAATGGCACCCCTAGCAGCGTTTGTAGGTTTTCTGTACTAGAAGTCTTTATCTTTAATAAGGAATTTAAAGGAAACCTTTCCTCAGAGAAACTTCTCATTCTGCAAAGGTTAGTTGCCTGGCTGTCGAACTGACCCCTCCGGCTTCAATACTTTGTGTCGCTGACCCCGAATTAGCATGCAGATAA